GTGGATAATAATAAGTTGCCATTGTTCATGGCAATCCTAATAAAAAGAATGAAAATGAGCCTGTAGACAAAATATGTAATTTAAGACAGAGACACTAAATCATCAGACAGATTAGTGGGGGACAGTGATCTGACAGTATCTAATCTTAATTAAAAAGAACAAACAGGAACAAATCCTTTAGGGGTCCCTGGACTGGGCTGGACTCTGTGCTTGTCTGCCGGAGACTCAGGCAGGTGCAGGGAGACAGATAAAGGGCTTTAAACTCAAAAAGTCATGCTGAGTGTCATGAATGTGTTGTCCATGCAACTGTGGACAGACGGGCCATAACACGAGAAGTTATAAAAAACCTGACCCCAAACCCTGCCTGGGTTGGCCTTGGCCCGGGGGATTAGATCCAGTCAGGACAGGACCACAAGCCCCATTAAATAATTTACAAAGCAACAAGGATTTTAGATTAGATCAGAGAATCCCACTATCAGGTGTGAGTTGCTAATATAACAACATTTAGATGTTGAAACAGTACTTAAAGTTTTATTAGAAGGAAAATCTGTATCTATGTTTACGTTCACAAAATCCAACAGCCTTGAACGCCTCAAAATGTCAAATATGTCAAAAGAGTGAGATCCTCGTGAAAAATACATAAATAAGTTAATTAATAATGAAATTGAGCTGAATGACCGTCTCAGTAAACCTAACAGTAAATTGACCCAAAATTAAAATCCCAATTTTACTGTCAGATCAAACTCCTGTAATTTCTTAGGCAGGGATACATAACGCAAAATGAAAGTTAAAACCTGGTGCTCACAACGACAAGGTTACTTGGGTAAAAGTCTTAAAAGTATCTGATATTTTTGTAGTTGATATATGAAGTCACAACAAGAATCTAATGAGTTTAATTTTAAGAAGTCAACTGCTTTAATTTGTTTCTCTTTTCATTGTTTAATTTTGTTTTATTCACACTTCCTGTTCAGGGTTTAATTGTAAAACTTTCATTAACAGCGGCTCGAGGAGGAACAATCTTCACGAGGTCTGATCTTCAATTATGTCTATAAAAACTGGATGTATATTTGTCATCTCAAAATCAAGTTGTCTAATACTTTTTGTGTTTCAGTGTGTTTGAGTTGTGCTTTCATGGTCCTCAGAAGGATCAGAGGTTTACATCCAGATATCCAGTCTTCAGGAGTGGGCAGGGCCTAGCCTGGGACATCATGTAGTGTGGAGGTCACTGGACGTGACAAAACACGTGTTCCTCACTGGCTGGGAGGGGGGCTCCAGGTTCCACCATCAACAAGGGGGGGCTTTGAAATCATGACTATTATAAAGTAAGTTCCTCATCCTGACACATTTTTGAAAAAGGAAAATACACTTGTGTCATAATTTTGTTAAAATACCTAAAACTGTTACGGCGTTGTCATGATGATGACATAATTAAAATTGACATTTTATTGTTTGAATAAGTTTAGGTGAAGAAGAGAGACAAAGGCCTCATGTGAATCGGTTTCATACTGACTACATGACGCTCAAGTTATTGTCTGTGTTTATTTTTATTTCTACAATGATGGTCAAGCCGTTTTATTTGACCCACATTTTTAAATTTCACTTTTGACCCAGATGTGGCCATGAGCGATGGTGAAATCATTACAGGTTACCTTGTGTCCAAAAGCTGAAGAAAAATGTTGAAGTTTCACTCTCTGTGTAAAAGTTTTTGTTTATTTTAATGTTTTGTTTTGAAATAGAAGTCTCCCACAGCAGGCTGCAGGAGCCAAAACCACGGTGGGGAGTCAAACCTCACCCACAGCTCACTGGGTCCTCCTGAGGGTCATCCAAAGAAGGTGGTCTGAGCCCAGGTGGACAGCCAGTGTGCAGCAGCTGAGGAGCCCAGCAGCTCATTGGTGGAGGTCCAAACATATTGGAGAGGAATCAGGCCCAGCAGAACCAGGACCGGGACCGGCTCTCGAGGGTGAACCACAGCCTAAGACTACCAGATGGATCTTGTGCACAGAACATACAGGCCCACATCACAATATATTGTTTGCTTACAGTTTGGTTTAGTTTCCTTATTGGGCTCATGTGTTATCAGTATTTTTGATTTGATTTTGTGTAATCAGGTATTCCTGAGTTAGTCTTTTACTACATGACTGATCACGACTAGACACTTAGGTGTCACAGCTCTGAGGATTTTTCTTTGATAAAGGAAGGAAACGGAAACAGAAACAACAAATCTGTACAAACTCAGTATGAAATAAAAGCAGTGACATACAGGTACATATGTCACAGAACATGGACACTGCACAACAGATTATGTGCTGTTCGGATACATTAGTGTTCAAAGAAGTCTGTTTCTATTCTAATATTGAACTGGAACATGCTTTAATTATTGTTGGTTTATGTATATACTAATATTTAATGAGATAATCCATAATTTTAATCCTTCATATTCTGATTGATGTATGAAATGAGCGAAGCCTCGTGGTGATAATATTTAACTCACATTATATTACTGCCTGAGTCACGTTACAGTGTGTGTTTTTCATAGTATAGGAGTTTCAAGGGACCAGATTGGCCACAAAAAGTCCCTTAAATTAGTGRTAATTGTTAGTTTCAAAGTGGAGATTTCTCCCACAGWTTGGTACAGAGGGGGGATTTCTCTGGACCCACCATGTTTTTCCCACCCGTTTCATGGGGTGGGCTTTTCTTTGGTCATACAGGTCATTCAGGCCAATTCCCAACTGCTAATAATTCAGTCAAGTGGACCTTCAGATCCTGTGCAGTGACACAGTGTTGTTAGTGAAACTCATAGATTATTTGTCAGGGGAACATGAAGAGGTGAGGTTTGGGGGTGTGGCTGTGGTGCAGTCCAATTTGGCTTTATTAGTAAATAATTTTAATTTAACTGGTTTAAAATTAATTAAAATAATGTATAGGACATAAAATAGGATCCTCTAATAAATTGTAGACATAAATTGTAGACTAGCATAAACTCATATAATGAAAATAAAATTAAACTGAAGTTTTTCTCAACACAAGTGTGATAAACGCTACAATTAAAATGTGACTTCATTTTTCTCTCAGAAACATATTTTAGCTGATTTAAGATTGTAAAGCTTGGTTAGATGAACAGTTTACAGCTCAGAAACATTAACAGATTAAATAATCTCCACTTTAATCCTGGTCAGGATTAAGTTTCAGAGCACTTGTTACCATGGAAACGATCATGTCTCCTTTGGTGCAACCGATCCAAAGCTAATTAATCCAGGTTTAAACCAAAATCCCAGCTTAATCCCTGATCTTAGTTTGGTGCAATAGACTCCAGTTCAGGAGAGTTTAATCTAATCCAGCCTGTAATCTGTGCTAATAAAAACTCATTTCCTCTCAGTTAAAGTTTTATTTTCTGACAGTTTGTTTCTGACTCTCAGCAGCAGATCTGATTAAAACTCCAGTTTGTTTTTGAAATTTCTCCATCAGATGTTTGTGTTTCTGAGAAACTCTTCAGGACATTTAAAGTTCAGACGTCTGCAGCTCTGAGGAAACCTTTAATCTGATCTCAGACGACTGATTTATTAAGTTTATTAAATATCTTCAACACAAATAAATTAATCCACACATTAAATCTGTTGTTTTCAGACAAACGTCAGAATCTGAGCAGAACTGGGTCCAGATCCTCACACTGATAATAATCTGCTCCTGTTTATAAATTATTTGGATTATTTTTAAAATTCATCTTGTTTTCCTCTTTTAAATCTCCCACCTTTAGCTGACCTGCTGGGGTCAGCTCTGTCTGTTAGTGAAATATCTCCTGACCCACTGGACAGATTAGATTAGATTAGATTAGATTAGATTAGATTAGATTAGATTAGATTAGAATGAAACTCTTAGAAAGTAATAACTGTCTGTTTGTCTGCAGCTGATTCACTTTTAGACTCGACACAAAATGGCCGCCACAGCTGATCAAACTCACGACACAAAATTAGATTTTACTTCAACTTGATTTATTCCAGATTATTAATCTGAACATCAAAGCTGAATTTAAATGTCCACTCAAATATTTGACTAAAACAGATCACAGTTTTATTTTTATTTAACAGCTGATAAATGTTGTGACACTTTAAATCAGTGATTATTAACCTGAAAATTATTTTAATCTAATCTGTAATCTGACACATTTAGATTTTGTTCATCATTTAATTAAAATTATTTAATCNGAGCGATCAGCTGTTGATTTTAATTTTGTTCATTTAGTTAATCTCAGATAATTTACAGACAGATTCAGTGACACAAAAAGTTTTTACTTTTGAAATTATTTCAGCATCAGTCGGTGTTTCTCTTCATCTCTTCATGTGAATCATAATTAACCCTTACACTGCTGGAGGAAGTGAGACTCACGTGTCTTACTGTGCATGTCTGATCAGGAAATCTGTGATCCACCTGATGGGTCTAGTAAACAAACTGTGAACGTGCATTAATCCTAAACCATTTACAGCTGCTTGAATAAACCACCCTGACTGAGTGTGGCTTGGTGTTAGAGCAACTGATCACAGCTGTTTACAAGTTGAAGGCTTGTTCAAGCTCGGCTTACAGCTGAGATCCTGGATTTATAAATCTGACTTTAGTGAAATGAGCCTCAGATCTTGTTTAGTATATGGGTCTAAAAACAAAATAAAAATACTTTTTATTTGATATCAGACTGTAAAACTTGGTTACTTGTTACCATGGAAACAGAAGAGCTTCCTCTGTCATGCAACAGATTCAAGGCTTAGACCAAAATCCAGGCTTAATCCCTCATCCTAGATTTGTGCAATATAGGCGTCAGGATCTTTAAAGGAAAGTTGTTTATTTTGACTTGTTTGTTGTTTATTTGTCAACAATGATTCACAACAAGAAATAAATATTATGTAGTTAAAGCAGAGGAGATGGATGGAGAACAAACAGGAACAAACTTTCTATAAACATCAATAAAAACAACAACAATGAAAATAAACAAACCCCAAGTTTGGTTGAAGCGTTGCTTTGCTACTTCAATGTTGTTTTTGAAGGTCCATGTTCTTCTCCATCCAGTCCTGTTTGGGCACAGCCTGTTCACTGTTACTGTCATAATGAACCATCTGAACTTCATCAACCAAACCAACAGCAACAAACTCTGGGAAGTTTGGGATCTGTGATGATCCAGTGTAGAAATACTTCAGGGAGTGGGTCACTGAAAGAAAGAAAGATTAAAAATTACAACTAAATAAATTAATTTAAACTTTTCCAAACAATTAAAATAAAAGTAAAGTTTTAATCTTTCTGCATGAATAAAATATTTTAACATTTTTTACATTTTTCAGCTGTATTTTCTGTTTTTATTTGTCAGATCAAACATTTAGTTTAAAGATAATTCAGACATTAATTATTTTATGGTTTGTTGCATCTTTGTCACCATAAGATTCATTTTATCATAAAAACTTAACTAACTTGTTTTTTCCTCCTTTTTCTGTTTTGATTTCTCTTAATAGTTTTTAGTTTTGTCTCTGAATTTTAACTCAGTTGTGAATTTTTAATTTTTACCATTTTTTAATAAATCATGGATAACCACTGAACTCAGTTTAATYGTGAAGAAACTAAATATTTTAAAAATACAACCAGTCAAACTCTGTCCTCTGCTGTTAAATTATTAAAGSTGACCTAATACGGGGGTCCTAAAACAAGTTAGGATCCATCTGTGGGCTYTACAGAACATGTTCRTTTGATTTAATTCACAAATTTAATCTCAGATAATGAAATTTCACTTTTTCAGTTCTGTCTGTTCTTTAGTTCTCTTCAGAACCTGCTGTATGCAGAAGCTGCTTATGGAAATCCAAAAGTGAATTTTACATAATAGTTGTCCTTTAAATGTTCACCTTAATGTCACAAAGTTCTTCCTGATTTATTGATCCATCAGTAAAAAGTYATTTAATGATCAGTATTTTTCTAAATTATGGTTTAAAACAGTCAAATAAAAAATATTAAATAAAATAATGACTAAAAAGTAGGAAGCTGTTTTAATAAATATCAGAAACATTAAGTCACAGCTGGTTGGTATGATGTTAATAATTAAATTTATTTTGTAACTTTTGTTGACAAGTTTTGAGTCTATAAAATTATCTGAAGTTAATTATATGTGATAAATAAAATGTTTAATAATTTATACTGATTATAAACATAGTTTATCAATTGAGACACTTTTAGGATTAAAATCTTCTTGTTTTTTCCTCCAAACTTTTTCTGCCTCGTTTCTTTATTCACATGTTTTCACGCTGATTTTTTCTCTCTTTACAGAGATTCTGACATTATTTATCAGATTTATGTTGAAGATGGAAACAAGTTCAAGTCTGATAGAGGAAATAACAGAAAATAAAAAAACACTGAATAATTAAAATAAATTTATCATACTTTCCTTTGTTAATAAAACTCATTAAAAACTGGAACAACTTCAACAATAAAGATGTAGAAAGAGTTTTTATACCTAAACTTTTTTTATTTCTTGTTTTCTTTCACACAGAACCATCAGAATTAACTTCAACTCCATCAAAGTTTATTAGAACAGCTGGTAAATTAATTCAAGAATCAATAAATAATCCACAAATAAAACAATAAAAACCAGAACTCACCAGCTGCAGAGCTGTGGATCCAAACCAGAAACATAAACATGAAGAGCTTCATTGTTTCTGTTAGAAGAAGAAAACTCAACACTGCTCTGCCTCTGCCTAAAAAAACTGCTTCTGAGTCTCCAGGCTCTGCGTTTCTGTTCATGAAGGAGGACTGAGTGACGTCAGAACCAGTCTGAGCCAATAAGAAACCAGTCTGAGCCTGAGCGTCACCTGAATCCAGGTAAAATTAATCCGCTGAGGTTCTGAACGAAAGTGAAACTAAAATCTGATCATTTTAGGCTCAGATGGTTTCATGTTAGAGATCTGATCTTCATCCTGGACTTTTACGAACTTTTTTCTTAAATTTTAAATATTATCTTGCAGCTTTTTAAGGTTATTTATTTAATTTGTAACTGTTAAATAAAAAATAAACAGTTAATTTATTATTAGTCAAAGTCCAGCCCACCTCACACTGAAGGACAGTTTATGAGAATTTAACAACAGCTGTTTGGTTTGGAGTTCAGATGTAGCTGACTTTAATTCTCAATAAAAATCCTGTCTTCAAAGAGAGATTCTGCTCCAGACTTGAACATCATTGTTTCTGTGGTGAAGAGCGCCCTCTGGCGGGTCAAGGTGGTCACTATTTTCAGTTTATGGTCTGAAGGTTGAGAAGAAGCTGCAGATACATTATTCATAAAAACATTTACAGAAGTCAACAACAGATTTGTCTGGTACCACAGCATTCACAAACGCATAAACAGTTTATTAAATACAGAAATTAGCTTGACTGTCACGTGACTTCTGTGACTTTCTACACGCACAAATGTGATGTTGTGTTCAAGGCTGATGAAAAGCTGGGACATATGAGATTTACTAGATTAGCTGGATTATTATCAGTAACAGCTCCAACACCTCAACTACAGTCAACTGAACATCAGATCATTCATGGTGACAAAACAGATTTACTTTTTAAAAACAAGACTGTACAAATATATTTAACTAGTTGTATAGAAATGATTTGTAGTGATAACAGTAAGTTCAGCCGGTTTGGACGAAGCGGGTGTTTAATGAGGACGTCGCTTCAGTATGTCAGTGGTTCCCAACCCTGGTCCTCAACTACCTCTATCCATCATGTTTGACTTGTTTCCCTGCTCTTCAGCAGGTCTTCAGAAGATTGTTAATCACTCATTCATTCAAACCAGGTGTGTCAAACCAGGGAAACATCTAAACATGCAGGACAGGAGTCCTTGACGACCAGGGTTGAGAATCACTGTTTTAATACATGTTATCTGATTTATTATTTACTAATAAATGGCAAAGAATCAATGGCTTCCAGAGGCAATACTAAAAAACATAAAACTAAGTCAATATTATATTTTGAAAATGTCTCAACAAGCTCAGAGAAGCTCTTGGGGTGTTGGTCAACATTTAAAGCAGTGATTTTTAGATGTTTCCCTGATTTGAYACACCTGGTTTGAATGAATGAGTGATTAACAATCTTCTGAAGACCTGCTGAAGAGCAGGGAAACAAGTCAAACATGATGGATAGAGGTAGTTGAGGACCAGGGTTGGGAACCACTGCAGTATGTCATGGTGAAGAAAGAGCTGAGCCTAAAGGCAACACTTCATGTACTAATCTGGTCCCTGAAGGACAAGCTGAAGGCTGCACAGAATCAACATCATTATTCTGAAGTGGGCAGGTTGTTTTGGGGACTAGATTCTTCTGGCTCATTTTTCAGATRTTCACACAAGTGCATACAACAATATGGCTTCAGATACACAACCGTTAAACTCAACTTACTTCTCTGGCTAATAAATATGATCTTGCTCTGCAGAGTTTTTGGTGTTAAAAACACCAGTGTGTCACATTTAGTGACATAATATGTTTTGGGTTTTTCCCTGATCTATCCTTGTGTGGTATTTCATATTTCTTCCTCATGGTGTTCTTTCATGATGATCCTTGCTCTGTGCAGGGGTCTGAGGCTGCATGACCAGGGCCATCTGTTCTCTTATGTTGTCTTCTTGTGAATCTTGTGTGGGTGTTCTGAACTCTAATTTCTCTGTGCTCTGTACAATGACAATAAAACATTTTATGGTCATTTTGCCAAGTTCCTAAAATAATCAGCTCTGGAGCATTTTTTTTTTCATCGTGTATAAAATATACAATTATTTTATGAAAAATAAACACTTTAGAAATGCTAAACATCAAATTATCTTTTTAATTAAAACTTTATTTACAGGTAACACCCTCACCAATAGAAGTTACAGAAAAAAATAGAAAAAGCTTTTCATGTGAAGAATATTTACCCAATATCAGCTTTATGACAGAATAACAGAAAATCACAAATAAGAGCCATTTCCATTTTTAGAGCAAACTTTTAAAACTACTTATATCCAACCTTAAACATTACAAAACATTTTTCTGTTTTATTTTGGAAGTATAACTGTATAACTGAATAAACTTCCCCAACAAACAGATCATTCAAACACAATCACAGTCAAACTACAATTATATAAACACAAGTCAGATACAATTACAGCTTGGATTTAATTTGTTATTAAGGTTTAATTAAAAAATTAAACAGTATGAAAACCTCCTGATCGTTGTTGTCTCTGTTGGCATTTCAAACACAAGAATCAACATTTCATTTTTAAAAACTTTTTCTTTGTTTAAATTCTTTATCTTCAGTAGTTTCAACAGTTTATTCTTTCCAGACACAAACAGCATCAGCAGCTGTGTTCAAATATTACTGATTTAAACACAAACTATGTCTTAAAAACGTCTGTTTTTAATTTTCATACACATAATTTTAAAAAGCAACTGTATTTTTCAGCTCTTTATAAACCAGCAGAAAGCATGAAGAAAAACAGGTTTTAACATTAGAATTAATGACCAAGAAGAAAATAATCTTGAGTGTAATTTTGTATCTAACAGAACATTTAAATCCATCCAAACATATTTCCTGTGTTCAGAACAAAATTCATTTTGTGCCACAGATTATTTTGTGAATTCAGCTTTTGGACTCCATCATCTTCTGTGTTTCGATGTCCTCCTGTTGACAAAATTCAACAAGTTTAACGTTTATTTGTTCCAAACAGCAGAATCTTATGTTTACTTGATAATTTCATAACAGATTATTAAATGATGAGGTCTAAATAAAACATGTATAAATATTATTAAAAACTGTTCTATGATGAACTCACTTTGTGAATGTCTTGATCTTTGGAAGAAGATGAGGATGAAGTGTCAGAAGCTACAAAACAACATGTTTCATGTGAGAAGAAATATATCTTAAGATATGTGGTTTTACATAACTGTTCAATTCAAGTTTAAAAAAACTTATTTGAAAATTGAGAGTAACTTCAATAAATCAATACAAAGCAGAACAACAAACACTTAGGTTACTTACTATTTGTCCGTTTAAACCCTGAAAGTGAAAAATACACAACAAAAAAAAAAACAGGTTTTTAAATTAGAATTTATACAGAAACGATTTTTGTTCATTAATATTAAACAATGAAACCATCAATATTAAATCTCCTATTTGTGCACTTTACTGTGTAAAAGCAGAACTCAGGAATTTCACTGATGACAGACAAGCTTTAAATACATGTTAAAAACAAAGCAGGTTTTATAATGTTTGTTTTTTTCTCACCATTTTTACGTCTTTTCCACAAAATGACTCCAACAATGATGCCCACCAAGGCAAGCAGTCCAATAATAATCACAACAACAGCAACAATAAGGAAACCTGAAGACCCTGAAACAAAAAACATTCATTCTGATTAATCAGATCATTATTAAAAACTGTTTTACAGAATATTTCAAATTAAATTAGGAAAAGGAAAATATCTGAGAGAATTGTAATAAACCATCTGTCAACATTTAGTTTTGACACAATCTGCAGTAAAACACATGATGTGAGTTCTATTATAAATGCTGCTGAAAATTATTTATTACTGAAAATTAGGCGTGAATCTGAAAACTATTAGTTCTGACTTTAGCTTCTTGTTTCACCAAACTAATAAAGTTTTTCATCTCGTTCTCATCTTCTAGTTTTACCTTCATTACTCCTGATGAGTTTTGTCTCCAGGCTTTTAACGACGTCCGGCTCTCCTCTGAGCTGAAACACACACTTATACTTGTTCCCAGTCTTCAGGAGCGACAGAGTAAAGATCCACAGTCATCTGGAAGGTGCCGTCATCGTTGGGGAGGATCTCTCCTTTCACCACATTCTCATGAATCTCCTCTCCATCTTTTCTCCACATCAGTTCAGCTCTCTGAGGGTAGAAACCTGTAGCGTGGCAGCTGACTGGAGAGGAGGAAGTCTTCTGGAGGAGAGACACTGAAGGAACAACTGGACACAAACACAACATCTTTACAGTTTCTCTACAGCTGCTTACTGCTGGATACCTGCTGACAGGCACTGTGGACAGAGTGATACTGGAATATTTACTCATTTTAAAAAAGAAKGACTGAGTCTTGTCAGAAAAAAAGAAAGTTGTTTCTTAAGAGTTGTGAGAGGAAGATGAAAAAAACAATAGGGTTGAGTTGTGAAGTAAAAGAGAAAGTAGAAATAGATTAATAGTACATGAAATTTATATTTATTGTGTTTAATAAATTAGTAGATACCTGTTCTCATCAGAGAGCTCCTCCCATAGTTTACATGCTTCTTTATCCAATCAGGACAGATCTGCTGATAGTAGTTTTTCAAGTATGCTATCTGAGCTTTGTTATCCCACTTGTGTTTGGTGATGACAGCTTGTTGTTTTGCAGCTGTCCATGACTCTGACTTCAAGTCCAGAACGATGAAGTCTTCTCCATCATATCCGTGCTGCTCATAACCTTTAACCTGATCAGTCTCATCGTCCCACTCACAGCCGTACATCAACTGGTAAATATGAACACCTGAGAGAGACAGAGAAACCACAGTGAAATATCAATTTACTGATTTATTAACAGTTAATTCTACATTTTAACACAAATAAAATGAATCCACTCATCAAATCAGATTGTTGTTATTTTAATACAAACTGTCAGAACTGGACCAGAACTGGGTCCAGATCCTCAGTAAWTTTCTCTGATGTGAACAAAAGTCAGAAAGAATAAACTGTGCCTGAGATTTGACATTTATTTGGATTCATTTTAAAATTCATTCTGTAGACGTAACAAACTCCTCCTGATCTTTACTCACATTTTTACAACAACTGATGAACTTCATTCAGACGAGTTGAAAGAAAATCTGCAGAAAGTTTCTTCACTGACAACAACCAGGAGAAACTAAAGAGTTTAAAACTCGTCATGTTGACAAACAGGTTCAATCCTGATGGAGCTGAGGCCTACTGCACAAATCTAGGATAAGGGATTAATCTGGGATTTTGGTGTAAACCTGAATTAATTAAGCCTTGAATCGGTTGCATGAGCTACGAAGCWSTTATGTTTCCATGGTAACAAGTGCTCTGAAACTAACCTGRTCCTGACCAGGTTTAAAGTGAAGATTATTTAATCTGTTAGTGTTTCTGAGCAGTAGAGTCATTTTACTGCAGAAAACTGTTCCTCTAACCAAGTTTTACAGTCTTATATCAGCTAAAAAGTTTTTTTGATCTTGTTTTTAGACCCATATACTAAACAAGATCAGAATATGTTGGATTATTAATCTTGTTAATCTGAAAAGTTTTGTTTTACTTCAAGAAGTCTTACTAAGTGCAACTGTCAACTGCAGATTATTAATATTATTAATTTGAAAAGAATAAGGGTCTAATCTAGTAGTTTTAACTTATTTTTAGAGACCTAATTTTTGCAGTGTCTGATCAGAAATCTGTTCTTCACTTGATAAATTTATTCTTTTTTCTTTGCATTAAAATATTACAGATTAAATATGTTTATTTAATTTATTTATCAGATTATCCATGAAAAAGAATGAAAAAAAGACTTAACCTCAGCTTCACCATTAAAATAATAT